GGCTTTAAAAGCATGAAGTGGCTGGCTTACAAGTTTTCAAAGACGAGTTTAATTTTAGAGTGAGTTGGGGAGGGTAGAATCCCCAATAGATAGTTTTCATCTTGTCTAGTTGGGCATGGTGAAAGATGGAGTTTGTTGTTGTTGAGTGCCGTTGAGTCGATTCCGACACATAGCTACCCTTAGGATTCTTTTAGTTCAATAGTGAGTAATTGTTATCATGACTAATTGAAATTGTGTCAACTGTAAAGGTAGAAGATGTGTAACAAAAAAGGAGTGCTTAATCTTACATTCCAGGAACAGAGGACCCTAGAACCATTAAGAGGTAAGAGCATGAGTGGAGCATGGGTTACTAAAAACAGAGACGAATCAACACCAGAAACGGAAGCAGAGATGATAGCATAGAGAGATGTTGGGGACCTGCCTCGACATGAGTGTTTGGTTCACGAGGTGGGGATATCTAGTGGCTGTAAAGATATAGAAAGAATACACAGAAAGACACAAAGAGGGAGACAAAGAGACACCCTGAAACCAGAGTGGATGCGGGACTGGCATCAGGCAGATCCTGCATTGCAAACATCTCAGCCAGGAAGGCCATAATATCCTGCATAGTAAACATCTTGGCTAAGCAGGCAGTATGGTTGCAATGCTGGACTGAGCCCCCTGCATGCTGTAACGCATGCCTTGCTAGTCGTAATGCACCTGGATTCGTTCTGCGTCTCCATTTTATTTAGGGGAGGAACTATACACAAAGCTGGGCGGGACTAAGACAAGGTACAGCTAACAAACGTAATTTTCCAGACATCCAGGCACCTTCACATCGTACTTCGCAGGTTTGAATCTCATGACAGCAACTTGGTTTCTCAAGCTTAATTAACATACCTTTTAGCACCTAGCCTCAAGTAGGGGGAGGAAAAGGAGGATTGAGAGGATTCCCATTGTGTCGGTTGCCCAGCCCAGGTTTCTCAGGAAAAGAGAAGCCTGAGTGAATAGGGCTGCACCTGGAAACACTTTAGTCAGGGTGTCCTATTGTCCTTTAAAACAAAGAACCGGGAAGCCACCCAATTTACTTTGACTGAATTCTTTGAGGGAAGAACTTTGCCTTTTTGGAATTTTACAATCTCGGCTTTTAGGAAAATATTACATTTATCTGTGGATATCAGGGCCCCATGTACGCAATTAATAATAAACCTAGCTGAACACTAAGATGAAAAATAGCTTGCTATGTCTGCTAGGTGCCTAGAGTCTGTTCCTCAGAGCCTGCGGCCTGTACGGTCTGCAACACTTGGGCCCATAGGGCCTCGAACTCCTGACCGGGTCTGGATGGTCTGCAACAGAGAGATGGCAAGGACTCTAGACTCATGGAAAGAGAAAGGCTGTGTGCTGGTGGGCAGGAGGCTGGCTTGCAAAATGTGCCGTTTGGTTGTTTAAATGGTTATGTATTTTTGTGTGTATTGTGTACATCAGGAAAAAAAAAAAAAAAGAAGGAATAGAGGCAAATACTGTTAATCCATGGTGCAAGTAGAGATTGTAAAAGCAATGAAAAAACAAAACATGATTGGCTGAGTGCAAACACATGTTCTGCCATGTAAATTATAACTCAATTCACAATTAAAAAAAAAAAAAAGTTATTTACAATGAAGAAGTCATTAGTCTTCCAAAATTCTATCACATGCTCTCCAGTATCATTTCTATCACCAAAACTATATTTTCAACTACTGAGTCTTCCTCTTTGTAACCTTTGCATTTCAGTTGTCAGTAATTACCAATACATCTTGATTACCTGTTTGATCAATTTCATACTAAAGAAGTTGGTAGAATTTTTCAATTTCAACATCAGTGGCTTTAGTGGTTGGTGTATAAATTGGAATAATAGTGGTATTTACTGGATTTCCTTGTAGATGTATGGATATCATCTTATCACAGACAGCCTGTACTTCAAGACAGACTTTGATATGTTCATTTTGATGATGACTGCAATGCCATTTGTCTTTAATGTGTCACTCCAAGCATAGTAAATCATGTGATTGTCAGATTAAAAGTGGCCAATACCAGTCCATTTCAGCTCACTGATGAATAGGATATCGATGTTTATGTGTTCCATTTCATTTTTGACAGTTTCCAATTTTCCTAGATTTTACATTTAGTACATTCTATTTTTCTGATTATTACTTAATGTTTACAGCTGTTTCTCTTCGTTTTGAGTTGTGTCCCATCAGCAAATGAAGGCTCCAAGTGTTTTACTCCATTCATGTTACCACAGTCAACTCTACTTTGAGGAGGCAGCTCTTCTCCAGTCTCATTTTGAGTGCCTCCCAACCTGAGGGTTCATTTTCCAGCACTGTTGTGTTCCACTGCTATTCGTAAGGTTTCAGTGACTAAATATTCAGAAGTAGTTTTGGTCTCCTTCTCCCTTGAAAACTGTCTACCATGGGTGGCCTTGTCAGTATTTAAAATACCCATGGCATAGCTTCCAGAATCACAGCAACATGAAGCCACTACAATAGGAAAAACTGACAGATGCATCATGGCAAATCCATTTACATAATATTAATCATTTCTTGTTGTTAAGTGTTGTTGAGTTGGTTCTAAATTGTAGTGACCCTGTATAAGATTTCCAAGGAGTGACTGGTGAGCTTGAACCACCAAATTGCAGTTCAAGCCAACTTTGCATTTCAGTACATTAACCTGCAGTGCCATGCCTGTTAGTCTATCACAAATAGTTTCTGTCATGTATCTTTACTGATTTTATAATTGTTAAAAGAAAAAAAAAAAAAAAGTACAGCAAAAATACCATTATCTAAACTGCAATACAAATTTCAACAAATCATATAACTCAGTTTGGTTCTCAGTAACCACAAATCACTCAGCACTACACATTTTTCTATAAATTAGAATAGAAGGAATTTATCATGCCAACTAAATCTCATTCAGAAGAGTATCCTCATTAAATGCAAGAGGTCAATAATGAAAACATACAAACTAATACATCTTATAAATCAAACTTTCTCCTAAATGACAAAGTTAATCTTGTCTGTTTCCAAGTTCAATATTAAACCCTGTGAAGCTAAAATAAATACGTTAAAACAATTTGGTTTTAGAGACAGGATCATTGCTAATGTCCAACAATCTTTTAGATGAACCCCATTAACCCTGCAGAGTCAGTGTTAGGTACTTAGGCAATCCTCAACCTTGAGCAACAAAGTGCTGATACTTTCCTAAGTCCAAGTATAATGCCTAACGAAATGACCATAGTGCTAAAGAGAGAATGCAGTTTAAAACAACAGTTAAATGGATCTGCTACATCACCATGCTCATTATTTTAATAGATGAGGTTTAGGAATGAGAGAGAGAATTATACTAATTTGAGCTCTACCTTAGTTGGTGCAACATACACAACCACCCCTTCATCACTCTCCTTCAGTACTTTCTCCATGCAGTAGTAAGAAGCATAGGTTTTGCCTGAGGACGTTGGAGCAACAATCACTGCGGAATCATTATTATCCACAACATCAAGGAGCTCTCTCTGCAGGGTCAAGAGTACAAATTGTATCAAGAAAGCAAACTTCATGTTAACAAACCAAATATATTAAAATACTTTTTAGTATGATTCTCTGAATTTCATATAGAACAGATACCACAAACACACAGATTTTTGGAAACTATGAAGAGCTCATGTCATTCTTTCATGAGCTTTTTGTTGTAGTTGTTTTGTTTAATAATTCAGTTTTGTATCTTAAAAAGTGAATGGAAAGTGAGCCTGGATTAAAAAAAAAAATTTTTTTTTTTTTTTTTATTGTAAACGAGTGTTGCTGTTGTTTTTCCTTCTAATTATTTGTCATTTAATAAGTATAGAATAACAGTAAGAAATTATTAAAAGTACCAGATTTCTGGTGCGGTGCTGTAAGGTAAGTGCAGGACTGCAAGGTCAATGGTTCAAACTCACCATTCGCTCCTTGAAAACCCTATACGAGGTTGCTATGAGTTGGAACCAACTCAACAGCATTAACAACAAAAACCACCCAATAAGTAATTTTTTATGGTGAAAAATAAGTATAAAAAAATAAAAGATCACCCATTTTATTACTTGATCCTATTCTCTGTAAGGAAGAATTCCAGGTTCATAGCTTAGAAGGCATGTGACTGCTTCACAAGTTCCCAATCCTTCAGCTTACCCCTTTATCATATCAAAATGAGGACTAGCAAAAGAATCATAATCCTATGGAGAAGATGAAAAATACACCCTAGTTCCCCACACTATACAAACTCTTCAAGCTAGTTCACTCCTGGAATCATCTCATACTGAAGAGGGCAACAGAATAAATACAGTGTGCATGACAGTGATGGAGACCACTGTGTGATCGCTATGCTGAAGCAAGGAATTTTGATCGTCATCTTCAAGAGGAGGAGGCATGAATTTTTTAAGGTTTTCATCATATCAAGATAAGAAAGGTCAAATCAAATCTAAAAGGCAAAAGAGTAAATCCATGAAGTGGCATTTTACCAGTAAAAATGTTCAATTTATCAGCAATTTTACATTGTTCAATCAATACAGAAACATACCATTTGATTCTAAATTTTATATATCTATATCAATTTCACATGTATTTATAGAATAACTACTGTGCTTAGAGATGCAGTGTGTAAATATCTAAGCAATTGTGTACAAGGTCTAAACTTCCAAAATTTCTATGTACATGTTTTTGAATTGAAATATGAATGCCTATTGACACAGGCAAACCATGGCTGCTGCTCCATAATGATGAGGGTGAATGACAGTGTCAGAATCTCATAAGTATATCTGAATCCATCGGAGAGTCTCCAAGGAACTGATGTTTGTGTTAAACAGAAATTTCACTTTCTAAATTGAGGAATAGGAAGTCTATATATAGTTGACCTTCTCAGTAATATTAAGAAGTTTATATAACGTGTAGAGCCATCACAGTGAGATACTCTTGAGATCACAATAAGAAAATAAATGAATGTTTGTGTTTCATTTCACATCATTACCTGCCATGTGTCAGGAATAAAATTCTGGACTCTGGGATCTGTATCTTTTCTCTCATCTCTTATCAAATAATGGCCCATGAATTGTAGTTGAAAGCGAGCAGGTCCAATGTCAATGGAATATTTATTCTTTTTCTTTTCCTTTATCTCCTCTCCTGAAATCTATATTAATTTCAAAAATGATTTAAAATATACCAACATTTAAATAAAGAAAAGATTTCTACTACACATCTTCTAGGTGAACATTAGTTCTCTACCTTTTAAAATACTCAATATTTTATTTATTGAAGACGTCCTTTACCTCTAAATCATCATTTTATGTTGAATACATTAGCATGAATACATTTAAATATATACAACCTGATATATTTAAAGACTATTGAGCAATAACATGATAGTTTTGAGATGTCTTATTAGAATTAAGCACAGAGCTAGTTACAAGGACCCAGTGATTATTGTTTTTCCACATAAGCATTGCTACAGACTTTCTACTTCTATATTGCTTCATATTTGGGCAACTGGATTATTAATAATGATTACAATCCAAGAGTAAATATTATAAATATAAAATGTAGAATTGATATCAATGTTTTTATGATATATTATGTACTCCTAATAATTATTCTAGACATCTGGTGTGATGCTACAGGATCAGAACTGGACCATGAATGGCAAGGACAGCAGTTCTAACCCACCAGCTGCTCTTCAAAAACCCTATATAAAGTCTCTATGAGTCAGAACTGACTCTCTGGTACTTAACACTAACAACAGCAATAATTATTCTATTGTATTAGAAATGGAAGGAGCTCTGGTAGTGTAGTGGTTATGAGTCGGGCTGCTAACCTCCAGGTCAGCAGTTCAAAACTACCAGTTGTTCTATGGGAGAAAGCTAAGGCTTTCTGCTCCTATAAAGATTTACAGCCTCAGAAACCCTACACAGGGTTGCTATCAGTTGGAACCAACTCCACAGCACGTAACCACCACCACCACCACCATTAGAAATGGAGATATTCTAAACATATTACCTGTGTTGGATGTAAAGAACTTGCCAACTCATCAAATCCTAAGTACTTAAGGCATCTGCCTATGAATTGATGATCTGCCTCTTTCAGAAGTTCTTGGTATTTATCCATCAATGAATGGATCCTTTTCATCATTTGAACAGCAATACTTAAATCTTTTGAAGCTTTACCTTGGTTAAGAGAAAACAATAACATTGTCATATGCTGTTGTTGGGTGCTATTAAATCAATTCCCACTCATAGCAATCCTAAGCATAACAGATTGAAACACTGCCCGCTGTTTCAATCCCCACAATTATTGCTATGTTTGAGCCAGTGGTGCTGCCATCGTCTCAGTATATGGTGTTGGGGATCTTCCACTTTACCAAGCATGACATCCTTCTAAAGGGACTGGTTCCTCCTGATAACATGTCCAAGGTACGCTTCCTCACTGTCAAAGAGTGTTCTGGCTGTACTTCATCCAAGAAATAAATAGTTCATTCTTCTGGTAGTCTAGGACACTTTTAATATTGTCCACCAACACCATAATTCAAATGCATCAATTCTACTACAGTCTTCCTTATTCGTTGTCCAACTTTCACACACTTTTGAGGTGATTGAAAATATCACGGCTTGAGTCAAGCACACCTTAGTTCTCAAATTGGTACCTTTGCTCTTCAATACTTTAGAAGTATTTTGTAGCAGATTTGCCTAGTGTAAGACATCCTTCAATTTCTTGACTGCTGTTTCCATGAGTGTTAATTGTGGATGCATGTAAAATTAAGTCTTCTAGAACTTCAGTGTTTTCTCTGTGAGGGTTTTTTGTTTTTTTTTTCTTTATACTGAGGTGGAATTTATACTGAAAGTCTTTAATCTTCATCAGTTAAGTATTTTAAATCCTTTTCACTTTCAGGAAGCAAAATTGTATCATTGAATATTGCAGGGTGGCAATGAGTCTTCCTCCAATCCTGATGTCATGTTCTTCTTAATATAATCCAATCTTTTTGGATTATTTGCTTAGCATATAGATTGAATAAGTATGGTAAAAGGGTACAACCCTGACACATAATTTTCCTGATTTAAAAACCATCTAGTTTCCCCTTATTATGTTTGAAGGACTATTTCTTGTCTATATACAGATTCCTTCTGAGCACAATTAAGTGTTCTGGAATACACATTCCTCTGAATGTTAGCCATATATTGTTATGATCCACACAGTCAAATGCCTTTGCACAGTCAATAAAACACAAGTAAACATTTTTATTCTCTGCTTTCAGTCAAGATCCATCTGACATCAGTAATGGTATCCCTTATTCCATGAGCTCTTCTGAATCCAGTTTGAATTTCTGAAAGCTTCCTGTTTATATACTTCTGAAATTTTTATAGAATTATCTTTAGAAAAATTATCAGTAGGACAAGCACTGGACTGCTAACCACAAGGTTAGCAGTTCAAACCTATCAGCAGCTTCTTTGAATCCCTATACAGGGTTGCTGTGATTGTTGTTGTTGTTGTTAAGTGCCGTCGAGTCAGTTCTGACCCATAGAGACCCTGTACAGGGTTTCCGAGGGTGTAAATCCTTACGGGAGTAGAAAGCCTCATCTTTCTCCCGCGGAACGGCTGGTAGTTTCGAACCGCTGACCTTAAGGTTCGCAGCCCGATTCGTAACCACTACGCAACCAGAGCTCCTTGTTAAGTGCCGTCGAGTCGGTTCCGACCTATAGCGACCCTGTACAGGGTTTCCGAGGGTGTAAATCCTTACGGGAGTAGAAAGCCTCATCTTTCTCCCGCAGAACAGCTGGTAGTTTCGAACCGCTGACCTTAAGGTTCGCAGCCCGATTCGTAACCACTACGCTACCAGAGCTCCTTGATTAGAACCTACTAAATAGCACTTAAAAATGTGATATTAGTTATATTGTTCAAGGATTTTTACATTTCTTTGGGTCACATTTCTTTGCAATGGGTACAAATATGGATATCTTCCAATTGTTTGGCCAGGGAACTCTCTTACAAGTTTCTTGGCTTAGAAAGTGTGCACCTCCAGTTTTGAATCAGTTCATTGAAACATTTCAATTTGTATTCCATAAATTCCTGGAGCATTGCTTTTTACCAGTGCTTCAGTGCAGTTTGTACCTCTTCCATCAATATCATCAGCTCTTGATCATGTGGTATCTCTTGAAATGGTTGAACATCACCCAATTCTTTTTAGTGCAGTGACTCTGTATTCTTTGCATCTTCTTTTGATGTTTTCTGCATTGTTAAAAAAATCCCATAAAATCCTTCAATATTGCATCCCAAGGCTTGAAGTTTTCTTCAGTTCTTTTTGTTTTAGAAATGCAGAGCATGTTCTTCCCTTTTGTCTTTCTAACTTCAGGTCTTTGCATATCTTACTTAACTTTGTTTTCCTGACTTGCCCTTTGAAATGTCCAGTTATTTCCTTCATAATTTCTTCTGGTTGTTTTAACTTCTTCTCTATGCTCAAGAGCAAGTTTCAGTCTCTTTTGACAGCCACTTGGGTCTTTTCTTAATATCATTCCACAACTCCTATGATCTTTGATCATTAGAGTCTAATTCATCAAATTTGTTCTTGAGATGTTCTCTAAATTCTGGTGGGATATACTTAAAGTCAAGGAGCTCTGGTAGTGTAGTGGTTACGAATTGGGCTGTGAACCGCAAGGTCAGCAGTTTAAAACTTCCAGCTGCTCTATGGGTGAAAGATGAGATTTTCTGCTCCCGTAAAGATTTATAGCCTTGTACAGGGTCGCTATGGGTCAGAACCGACTCGACAGCAATTAACAACAACAACACATACTTAAGGTCATATTATGGCTTTCATGGACTTGTTTTAATTTCCTTCAGCTTCAGCCTCAATTTGCACAGGAGCAATTGATGGTCTGTGCCTAGCCTTATTTTGCCTTATGATACTGAGGTACACCATTGTCTCTTTCCACAGAAGTAGTAGATTTGCTTCCTGTATATCCCATCAGGTGAAGTCCATGTTTATAGTCACTGGAAAAAAAGTTGTTTATGTTGTTGGGGGAAAAAAAAAGTATTTGCAGTGAATATGTCATTGGTCTTGCCAGATTCTATCATGTGATCTCCAGTATCATTTCTATCTACCAATTCTTCCTCTTCGTTTACAATTTTCACATTCAAATTACCAGTAATTATCAATGCATTTTGATTGTACATTTGATTAATTTAAGACTGAATAGTTGGTATAATTTTTTAGTTACATCACCATGGCTTCAGTGGTTGATGCATAAATTTGAATAATAGTGGTATTAAGTGGTCTTCTTGTAGGTGTGTGCATGTTATTCTCTCACAGACAGCACTGTCAATATAGATCTTGCAATGCTCTTTTTGATGATGAATACGATATCATTCCTCTTGAATTTGTCATTCTCTGCATAGTTAATGATTATCAGATTCAAAAGAACCAATACCTGTCCAATTCATCTTACTAATGCCTAGGTTATCAATCTATATGCATTCAATTTCATATCTTTCAATTTCAAATTTTGCTAGATTCATACTTCATACATTCCAGGCTCTGTTTCTCCTCATTTTGAGTTGTGCCACATCAGCAAAGGAAGGTTCCAAAGGTTTTATTCCACCAAGTCATTATAGTTAATTGTACTTTGAGAAGGCAGTTCCCCACTCATATTTTGAGTGTCTTGTAAACTGAGGTGTTTATCTTCTGGCATTATATCTGACAATGTTTCCCAGGTGTTCATAATATTTTCAGTGGCTAACCATTCAATGTCTTGGTATAGTGTTATAGGACAAGCACTGGACTGCTAACCATAAGGTCAGCAGTTCAAATCCACCAGCAGTTTCTTGGAAACCCTATATAAAGTCACTGTGATCAGAACCTACTCAACAGCAGTCAAAAATATTAACAACAACCATTCAGAAGTGGTCTGCCTCTCCCTCTTCATAGTTTGTCTTAGTCTTGAAGCTCCGCTGAAATCTGTCCACCATGGATGACCCTGTTGGCATTTAAAATACTGTTGCCACAGTTTCCAGCAGCACACAAACCACCGCAGTACAACAAATTGACAGATTAGTGATAGAAAACTGTCATAGAGAAACCATCAAAAATAACAAATGTTTGATTATCCATAATTAATCACCCTATCAACTATTCTGACATAACTAAACTCATTATTTAACTTGATACTAATGGAGGTTTTAGAATACAAAGAAGTTAATTACAAAAATAAAATTAAAGCACAAGTCCTGGTATGCTGCTGTGGGTTAATGCACTAGACTGCGAGGTAGGTTTGAACTGAAAGGTCAGTGGTTCAAGCTCACCAGTCGCTCCTCAGAAATCCAATGCAAGGTCATTATGGGTTGGAACCGACTTGATGGAACTTCACAACAACAACAACAACAAATCCACATTTCAGGACTTCTATTGTGGTAGGACAAGCCCTGGACTGTGAACTACAAGGTAACCAGTTCAACCGGACCAGCTGCTCCTCAAAAACCCTATATAGGGTCACTATTAGTTGAAACTGACTCAACAGCACTTAGCAACAATAACAATCCACATTTCATTTTCTCCACAGATGTTTGAGAACTAGCTATGTACTTAGAAAAAAAGAAATCCTTCATAGCTTGTCATAGGAATCCTATAACCCAGTGCTGCTGAGTCTATCTCAACTCATAAGATCGACTAGAACTGTCCTTAGGGTTTCCAAGATGTTAAAGTCTACAGAAGCAGATTGCCCACTGTGGTGCCAAATGTAATAGAACTAAGATGGTTAAATCTCAAGTTTGTTTAAATTTCTGGGGAACAAATTTTCTTGACCCATGGTCCTAGGTTGAAAGGGGGAAAAAAAAAAAAAAAATCCCTATGACTGTAAATATCTGGTAAAAATAAGAACAACAAAACAAAATTTAACCACATTCATTGAATCCTACCAGACTGTTAACTGCAAGGTCAGCAGTTCAAAACCACCAGTTGCACCTCAAAAGTCCTATACAGTTTCACTATGAGTTGGAACCGACTCTATGGCAGTTAACAACAACTGTAACCATAAATATGTATTTGGATAATCACAGGAGTCCTTCAGTACACCTAGTTTATTCCAATCCCCAGATTCAGGATATTTAGATTGTGCTTATCCTAACTTGTAAACCAATCTAGATGAGGAAAATAGCGAAACTAAAGCTTATACCTCTTACTGTCACGGTATGAATAGTGAGAGGCTAATTTTGCCATAGCAGATTGCAGATAGTAAAATGAGAGTGGTGGTGGTGGTCGTGTGCCATAGAGTCGGTTCTGACCCATAATGACCTTGCATTGGATTTCTGAGGAGCGACTGGTGAGCTTGAACCATTGACCTTTCAGTTCAAACCTACCTCGCAGTCTAGTGCATTAACCCACAGCAGCATACCAGGACTTGTGCTTTAATTTTATTTTTGTAATTAACTTCTTTGTATTCTAAAACCTCCATTAGTATCAGGTTAAATAATGAGTTTAGTTACGTCAGAATAGTTGATAGGGTGATTAATTATGGATAATCAAACATTTGTTATTTTTGACGGTTTCTCTAGGACAATAGAAAACTACCAGCTGTTCCGAGGCAGAAAGATGAGGCTTTCTGCTCCCATAAAAATTTACCACCTCCGAAACCTGTACAGGGTCGCTATGAGTCGGAACTAACTCCACGGCACATTACCACCACTACCATAACCTACATGCAAGAGAACTTCAAAAAGTAATGGAACTTTTCCCTTATCATTCCGTTCCAGTGGGGTTGGCAGTTCAAGCTTACCAGCTGCCCCTCGGAAACCCTATACAGAGTCCCTATACAGGCTCCACAGCACTTCACAACAATATCCTCCTCCCTAGGAGAAAGTTTGTATGAAATATCTCTACAACTATCCCAAATTCAAGATCAGATTGACACCCTAGCAGAAGCAGAGGCCGCTCTCAAATCGAAGAGCACTAGATTTACTAACAGTCAAAAAAGGAACCAGCTGCATATTTATCAATAAGAAATACTGCATTTCTTCGTGAACAAATTAGGCCTAGTCCGAGATAGTATAAAGAGATTAAAAGAAAAAGCAGCAAGGCTGAATTCAAACAATACCCAAAGCTCCTAGCTCACCCAAAATATCCTCCCTTGGTTATTATGCTTTGTAGGACCCCTTTGTAGGACCATTACTCCTCCTTTGCCTGGGAGCTGTATTCCTGCCTTGTATAATAAATTCTTTCCAAAGATTTCTTGCAGGCGGACTCACCGCCATTGCTAAAGATCAGATGGCAACCACTCTCCTGTTGCAGACTCACTCCAATCTATGCCCATTAAATCAGCATGAAGCAGTCAAAGAGACACATCTGACCCTATCCCCCTAACACCAAGAGTCTGGAATGAAGGACCTTGCGCCTGATCAACAGAATGGCATTGCAACTACCCCAAATGACATTAGGCAGTCTTGAGCTTCAGATCTCCTGGGAAGCTTGGGTCTTTGTTACACCTGGAGACCCTCCCCCCCTGAAATTCCAGGTTTCAGGAAAATCTCCACACCCCTGCCCAAATCTCTTGTAAAGTCCCTTCCTCCAACCGCTCACTTCCAGGTAGTCTCTTTTCTTTTACATGGCTCCAGATCTCAGAGGCCAGTCTTCCAGATCTTTCCTCAACCAACACCGGTCACAAATTCCTAAGTCTAAATAAGTCAGGCCCCCGCACTCTCTCCTGAGAATCCCAGGAGATTCTGCCTCGTCCCCTGATGCTCGGAAGATCACTTGGACTCCCCTAGCAGAGGGCACAGGAAAGCCCATAACCCTCTCCACAGTCGACCTCTGGCAGTCTCCCTTCTCACCTGTGGGAAGGCAGACATCGCCTTTGGCAGTGACTCCTGGACCCACCCAAAACGGGAGCTGGGGCCTTGCAAACCACCCCTCCCTTCTAGGCTGTCTTCTGAATAAAGAAATTGCATCTAATATATAAATCAATCGGAAAAATAATTAATTGATTTTTGCACTATAGCCTGGTTGCAATTAGTCAGTGGCCAGAAAACAGCACTTTTGACTTCCAAATTTTCAGAGACATTGACAACTTCTATAAAAAAATGGAAAAATGGCAGGTTTCCCACTTTCAAACCTTTTTTCCTTCCACTCCCCTTGCTGGGCTCATCAAATTCACCTGACTCTTCCTGAATCTCCCTTTGATCCTGCAAATGAATATCCCCCACCCTTTGAACCGGTCTTTACACCTCCCCCTCCTCCTCCACCCATTGTCCCTTCCTAAGATTCTCCTCCCTTGCCCCAATCCCAGTCCAGCATCAACTACACCCCCCTTAAGGGAAGTAACTAGGGTCAATGGCCTTACCCTAGAGCAAGAATGCTTAGGATCCTTTTCTGAAAACCCAGTCAAGCTCCACAAGGAGTTCCTTCCGACAACCCAGTCTTTTAGTTTAACTTGGCAAGATACTTACACCTTGACCTCAGAGGGAAAGGAACTCATATGGAGAGCAGCAGAAGTCAATGCTAATGCCTTCCGTGAACAGACCCCCACCCTTCACCCTGTGGTGAAGCCACAGATGCCCTCTCTCTGAAGACAGCCTAATTGGAATTATCAACATGGAAGTGAAGGCACCCAACAAAGGGATTACACGATTACTTATTTTACAGTGTAATAGATAAAAATGCCCATAAGGCTGTCAATTATGATAAATCATGTGAGGTCACCCCCCAACATGAACTCAGAGTCAAGAGAAGGCCAAACTTCTCCATACCCCCGCCCATTGTAAACTCACCAGAACTATACCCAGACCACAAAGACTATAAATAACCCAGTCTGTAAGGGAACAGACAGGCTCTTGGTCTCCTTTGGTGACATAAGAGTACGCCCTCCCAGGTTTACTCTCAATAAACCTGCCTGCTATTGAAGCCAAGACTCTATCTTCATCTCTTTCTTTCTTTTCCTTACATTTTCCATAATGTTTTTGAAGCACCCTCAGATTTTTATAGATTCTCCAGTTCATAAATCAAGAAAACACAGAATCACATACCTTCGCCTTGGCAATGTTCTTTCCATGCTTTCAAACAGGCAGTTAGACCTACCATTTCAACCTGAAATTTCACTGAATTACTTTTACATGACTTCAGAAAGTCTTCTAGGTTCTTTATACCAGAATTGAAATTCTGTTTCATTTCCTGTTCAATTGAAAATGACAGAGAATTCCATTTTTGTTCTTCTTTATGTTCTTCCTTCATGAATAACCTCTTCTTGTTCTCTCTAGTGATTATTTCAGCTTTGCTTTCCTGTCCCAAAAGTAAAGAAATATATCATGAAACAAATTGGAAGTATCCCAAGATGACATTTTAATAGGCAGACATTATTGATAGGTTATATTGATAACTTTGACCATCCTCCACTCTTGAGTAAATCAGGGTCTTAAAATGATAGCTTCTGCTAACTCAAATTACAGATTTGGAATAAAAGAGTAAAAAATATCAAATCAAAGAGACATGAGCCTACTCTTGTTTCATGTTTGCATAGACAGTACCTGCTTCTTTCTCTATAATAACTTTTCCTCTTCCATCCCTCTCCAGTCACCTACAAAGCCCTTATTTATCTCAAGATATTTCCTCCATGAAGCTGCTTGTATTTCCACCACCAGTGAGTTATGCGTACCTCCTCTGTCCATCTGCTATACCTGCTCTAGCTCTATCAAATAACTCATCAACATGTACTCTAGTCACTATTTTACTACACAGTCTAGATTGTCATTATTGACACAGAATGCAAGCTTATCAAGCATTGAGTATTTAGTCCGTAATGTTAGATTAATGAATAAGAGGAAGAGAATGAAAGAAACAAATAGAAGAACAATATGAATCCAACTGATTTGCTATGCTATTTAGCTTAACTTAAAACACATTATGGAGTCCTGGTGTGGTGCTATGGGTTAATGCGCCAGACTGCAAAGCCGTTTGAACTACAAGCTCAGTGGTTGAAGCTCACCAGTGACTCCTTGGAAACCCTATACCGGGTTGCTATGGGTCGGAACCGACTCGACGGCACTTAGCAACAACAATAACAAAACACACTATGTTGTTGTCAGGTGCCGTCGAGACAGAACCGGCTCATAGCGACGCCATACACAGCAGAACGAAACAATGTCCTATCCTGGGCCGACCTCACTACCGATGCCACACTTGACGCCATCAATGATGCCACCTGGCTGATCCATCTCGTTGGGGTCTTCCTCTTTTTCTCTGACCCTCCA